GAAGGAAGGAAGGAAGGAAGGAAGGAAGGAAGGAAGGAAGGAAGGAAAAGCCTGCAGGATGGAGGAGACCATCATGTGATGTAACGGGCAGAGATATTTACCATCACGTCCTTGGTGTTACTGGTACTTGCAGTGGGCCTGTTTGTGGAGGAGCCGTGGAGAAGGAAGTTGCGGTTGAATGTCTTTACGGGGGTCCCGGAAGATGCTTCAATTTTTTCAGCTGAAAAGGAAACAAAGAATAAGAACTAGGGGCCAGCGAGGTGCGCAGTCAGGAGGACTTGGCCTCATTTTCTTGAAGGAGAAGCTTGGTAATGAAAGCACCCCGATCTGGCGTCCGCACTTTCCTCGCCTTGACCTGCCTCCCCTCCTCTCAACACTTCCTGGACCTCCTCGTAAACTGTCTCATACTCATCTGTGAGCCAAGGTTTGCTTCTGAGGAGATCCAAGTTGAGACAGGTAAGAACATCTGGAGAGATGGCTCAGGAGGTAGGAAGGCTTGCCATGCTGAGCTTGGATCCCACTACCATGTAAAATAGCTTGTAACCCGGGAGGGCTGCTGGGGTGAATGGCCACCAGTGTAGCTCCATATATACACACTCACACACATGCATACTACCCACATACATGCAATCTCACACACACTCACACACAAACCATACAATGTACCCTCACACTCATATACACACTCAAACAGCGAACACATACATCAGCACACTACATACATATGTGCACAGTCTCATACACAAACTTGAACATACATTCAAACCCCCTACTTGTGCATACGATCACAAACTTAGACTTACACATGCACACAAACACATATGCATACACACTCAAAATACTCAGAAACACACTTATACTCACTTTCACAGCCTGACACTCAAAGTGGCAGAAACTCCCACATTAACACACTGACAAATCACACACTCACACAATACTCTCACACACACTGACGACACACAACATATTTACACTTATGCACATTCCCTCCTCATACACACACTGTTACACACCAAGTCCATGCCCACAGACACGCACTACACACACCACACACCTGATACACACCCACATACCTCCACACTCATGAGACCCACACACTTAAACACACACTCTCACCTATATACAGTCGCTTACACGCAGCTTCACAAACTCACACTCACACACATTTACAAGACACAAACACACAGTCTCACACACTCATGGACTCATTCACCCCACACACGTTCAAACACATTCACAATGCATGTACTCACACACGGACACACTCAAACACTCTTAGACTCACATACACAACCATTCCCCCCCCATACTCACACCTCATACTCTCTTACACACCATACATACACACTCAGACTCTCACACACATTCGCCCTCACACATTCACATATGAACACCCCACACACCCATAATACTTTCACAATACACTAAGACGATTACACACACACACATACACACACACACACTCATACACTTCATATACCCCACTACAGATACATCAACACAGGCAATCATTCACATTGTATCCCACACTCACATATGTACCCACACTCAAGTTGCTCACTGAACCCCACACCTTCTCATGTACACTCACACCAGCCTCACACACACACACACACACACACACCACACCACCTCATACATGTACTCTCACTAACGTACCTCACCTGTGCACACTCATACCCTCATACTCCCAGGCTCCCACACTTTCACACATACACTTGCTCACACAGGCATACTGACATGCACTATTGTTTTCACACCTATTCAGGGTTGGTCTGGTGCTGCCTTGTATCCAAATGCTAAATACTGGCCTGTAAGATCTGGTTGTCCCCAACGAGGAGATCCTTACATATACCAAGCGATGCTTTGTAAACCCTGCTCCCCGGTTTAATGTTAACTGGTTAATAAAAGGCTAGAGCTTGTGATTGGTCAGTAGAGAGAAAAAGGCGGGACATGAGGATTGAGTGAAGGGTCACAGGTAGGGACCATGAGGGAGACGAAAGAGGACATGAGAGGGGAAGAGGCTGCCATGAGAAGGCATGGTCTATGAGCACATGGCCAGGAGAAATAGCAAGTAGCGAGGGACATATGGCTGAGATGTAGTTAGAACAGCTCAAACCTGCCCACCTGCCCAATCTAGACTTACAGCTTGTAAATAAAATACCAGAATTGTGTGGCTTTTATATGGGCTAGCTAGAATATTAGAATCTGTTTTACACACACACTTGTCCTCATGCACGCCCTCTCTCACACACACTCACAAGTAAGACACATTAGCACAACCCTTGGGGCGAGTGCACACTGGATCTGACCCTCACTTTCTCACACTCAGGGCCCTGGGTTCTCCCAACAATCCCAGCTTGGTATTTTAAGTGCAACGTACCTTTCACAGGAGGGGCAGGTAATTTCCTCCTCTGCTGCCTCGACGTGTCTATAGTTTGTACCTACAAAGAAACATGGCTGTCAGTACAGCTCTCTAGATCCTGGACATTTGGAACTTCCCAGGCTATGTAATATTCTAATGGGGGCGTGAAAGGCAGACACACCTGACTCCTTTGCTTCTGATCCCGCTTTCTTGTGAGACGAACACATGGCGCTATGTTTAAGCCAGCGATGGTCAGGGCAGAAATGCGGCTCTCAATGTCAGAGATCTTCATGCAACAGAAAGATAGGTCCAGTAAATACAGAGGGGGAAGAACGCCGGCTTAAAACGTTACGGACTATGAAGAAGGAATGGATCTGTTTTCATGTCCGCTTATCCATTCACTCATTCCTGGTTTTCTTTTTGAGACAGGGTCTTATGGAGCCCAGGCTGGCCTGAAACTTGCTATGTGGCTGAGAATGACTTTGAATTCCCAATCCTTCTGCCTCCATCTCCTAAGTGCTGACATGACAGGTGTGCACCACAACGCCTGGCTTCTTCATTCATTTAAATTCTACCAGTGACTGGTCTATCCAGTTCGGTAAGGAAAAGATGAAACGCAGGAAAGGCATACATTTAAGTGTCTAGTTTTACAGCTCTAGAGTATGTCAACAGCCCTATTAGAGTATGTACAGAGACAAATCGAAGGCCTGGAACACTATGGGAAAGCTAGTCCAGAGCCACCTAGGTCTGAGTGACGTCTCTTATGGCTAGGATAAGGTTTCAGTTTGTTCTGAAAAGGAACTGGAACCTTGGTCCTCACAGAAATGCTGCTGAGGTAATAAAAACGTCAAAAACGAGCCCCACATCGGTGTTATAGTGGCATGGTTGGTACTCGAGTAACCAACTACTACACGAGTGGATTGATGGCCTGCACCACAGGATGGAACTCATGCCTGGTTCTGTAAACCTGCACAGACACACATGGCTAGAGAGGTCCCAGGTCCCAGGAATGAGCCTGTCATTATTTTGCCAAATGGACACAGCTTCAAACTACCTTCTGAACACGTATCTTTTTATATCCGTAGCTTAATGCAGCTCCCATTTACCATCAGAGAAGTGTCTGTTGGCAGTGGTCAGTGGTAAATACAAGACTCACACCTGGCCATGGTGCAGAAGCAAGGGTGGGAAGAGTTTAGGAGCAGTCTCTGGCTTGCTTGTCTTATGAGACAGCCTCTCTCACTGGCTTGGAACTACACAGTTTAGTTAGGCTGGCCGGCCAGTGATCAGCCTGCCTCTAACTCCGTAGTAGTAAGATTACAAGCTTATTTTTTCCCCCTGTTTTTAAAATGTGGAATCTGGGGATGGAAATCAGGCTCTCATGCTTGCAAGGCAAGTACTTTACCAACGGGACCTGGCCAGGATGAAGTTTTAAGATGTTAAGAACGGTAGCAGTGGGGCTGGAGAGATGGCTCAGCGGTTAAGAACACTGACTGCTCTTCCAGAGGTCCTGAGTTCAAATCCCAGCAACCACATGGTGGCTCACAACCATCCGTAATGAGATTGGATGCCCTCTTCTGGTGTGTCCGAAGACAGCGACAGTGTACTCATAAATAAAATAAATAAATAAATTAAAAAAAAAAAAAGAACGGTAGCAGTAGCGGGGATTTGTATTGAACTCCTGCTATTTATATTTTAAATATTTATGTATTTATAAAGTGTGTGTGTGTTGGGGTGGTACACATGCCATGGCACACATGCATAAGTCAGAGAACAACTTTGTGGAATTGTTTCTCTGGTTCTTTCCTTCTGTCTTTATAAGGGGCTCCTGGGAGAGAACCCAGGTTTCCAGGCTTGTGTGGTAACTGCCTTTATCTGCTGAACTATGTTGCTGGTTCTCCTGCTGTTTTTTAACCTAGAGAAACACAGGGATGTCCCACTTTTTAAAAATTAATTTATGTACCTTAAGGCAACATCTCATATAGCCAAAGCTAGCCTAAAACTTCTCTGTAGCCAACAATGACTTTGAATTCCCAATCTTAATCATCCTTAACGCTGGCATTACACACAAGGACCACCATGCCTGGCTATAGTGGGTGCTTTATAAAGGAAATAAAACAACATGGGTTCCTGAGAGACTGTTCACAGATCCCAGTCAGTCAACCCACAGGAGACGAGGGCATCTTCACAAGGGATGCAAAGAAGTTTTAGAAAGTGGCTATTATGGTTTGAATATGCTTGGCCCAGGGAGTGGCACTATTAGGTGTGGCCCTGTTGGAATAAGTGTGTCATTATGGGTGTGGGCTTTAAGACCTCATCCTAGCTGCCTGGAAGTCAGTATTCTGCTAGCAGCCTTCAGATGAAGATGGAGAACTCTCAGCTCCTCCTGAACCATGCCTGCCTGGATGCTGCCATGTTCCTGCCTTGATGCTAATGGACTGAACCTCTGAATCTGTAAGTCAGACTCAATTAAATGCTGTCCCTACAAGAGTTGCCTTGGTCATGGTGTCTGTTCACAACAGTAAAACCCTAACTAAGACAGTGGCAGCTGACAACGTGCTGTGGAAACAGCCATATCTACGTCCTGCTCCTTGAGCTTGGCCTGGAAAGTGCATTCCATCCATTCATTCCTTTACTTACTCCCCTTAAAAAGATTTTTTTGTTCACATATACATATGTGTGTACTTTGGATTTGTACACAGGTGTGCAAGTGCCCATGTAGGCCAGAAGAGGGCACTGAATCTCGAGGAGCTGGAGTTACGGGCGGTTGTGAGCCACCTGATGTGGGTTCTCTCCCAGGTGGGTGCTGGGCTCACGGCCCAGGCTCTCTGCAAGTTAGGATGTGCTCTCTCCTACTGAGTCCTCTCCAGCTCTAACTCCATGTTTAAGTGTCAGGAGTCATTCCTTCAGGATAGACAACTGTGGCCTGGCCCTCATTTGTCTTTGAGTCCCTTGTAGGGAAACAGCAGGGAGCAACCCACAGAATGAAAGATGTGGCCTTGGGATGGATGAGAGGAGACCAGCATAAAGCATGAATATGTGTGCATGTGTACACGTTTGTATACATCCCCCCCCCACAGACACACGTGTGTGGATGCATGTACATGTTTGCACATGTACTGTGGGTGCTAGGGGATGGCATTCCAATGGCTCGCCACCCTGGATTTTTGGAGAGTTTCTCTCACTGAGCCTAGAGCTCACAGATCTGAGCAGCCTGGCTGGCCTGTGAACCCAGAGCTCATGGATCTGAGTAGCCTG